GCCGGCCAGCCAACCTCCCGCCATCTCCTCCTCTTGACAGGTCCGGCCCTGATCCGCCCTGATTAGGGCCAGGCTGGCTGGACCCCACACATGCACGAATTTGTGCACTGGGCCTCTAGTTATTAGATAGTAGAATATCACCAAAAGAGGACAGATTAGGGTTGTAAATAAAGAGAAGAATATATTATAAATAATAATTATAAGGTGAACACTGTTGCTATGATAGAAAATTTTTGCACAGTTTCCAGAAACCTTGCCTTTTTTTTTTTCTTTACTTTGGGTAAGTCATTTTTCAAAATTAGGAAACATACAATTCATCATTGGATATAAAGTTTTTCCTGGTATAAATTCTGCAAAATTTGTGTTAATGTCCTCCATCACAGTTTTAGAGCAAATGCTGAAATGCTGAATTTTTACATGGTTCTTTCTTTTATTGACTTCTGAAAAAAAACTGAAAGCATAATATTCAATTTTAGCTCAATGACAACTGTTCTGCCATAACCTAAATACAATACAGTATTTCCATTAACGCTAATTTTAAAGATTCCTTTGCATTTATTTTATCTGTTAATCCATTCTCAGCATCCTTTTTTCTTTCGCAAAAAATAAGATGATTTATTACCTACAAACCTATAGAGTCTATTTTTTGAATCTTCAAATTCCAATTCTTTCTCATTTTTGAATAGCTTCACTCCTACTGGTTGAAATACCGTATGGTTCATTAGAACTTGGCAAAGACGAACTCGTTTAAGATGAGAGAGATCATTACTACTTAGGCACATATTTTGCATAAGATGACTTAATACTACATCAACAGCATCAGAACCAGTAAAACAGTCTTTGTATGTTCATAAATGATGCCTCCTCCTTTTTATTTCCACTTGAGTCTGAAGGGAGTGAATAATACTATCCCATAGCTGAGTAGCTTGAAAAGACCAGAACATCCTGAAAATTAAAACAAAAAAACCAAACACATACTTAAATTACACAAAATTATTAAAATATTTAAATTTTTCAGTTTTGACAGCTATGCTATTTTTAAATCCTCACCTGAGGATATGATTTTATTGACTTTAGAGAGAAAGGAAGGGAGAGAGAGAAAGAGGAGGGAGAGAAAGAAACATTGACCGGTTGCCTCCTCTATTTGCCTGGACTGGTGATGGAACCCACAACTTAGGTGTGTGCTCTGACTGGGAATGGAACCTACAATCTTCTGGTGTACCGGAATAATGCTCCAACCAACTGAACCATCAGGCCAGGGCAACCTTATGCTTTTTTGTTGTTGTTAATCCTCACCTAAGGGTATTCTTCTGCTCCCCCTGATCCAGGGAATTTTTTCCATTGATTTTAAATTGAGTGGAAGGGAGGCGGGGAGAGAGAGAGAAACATCCATGTGCGAGAGACACATCGACTGGTTGCCTCCCCCATGATGTGGATGGAGCCTGCAACCGAGTTACATGCTCATGATCCTTCAGTCCCTGGGCTGATGCTCTAACTACTGAGAAACTGGCTAGGACAAACTTACGCTTTTTTAATGGCATATCTGCTGCCATTGTTAAGTTTCTACTCCTCCAGTCTTATCTAAACTAATAAAAGAGAAAAATGGTAATTGGCATACGACCGATACCCTTTTCATTGGCTAATCAGGGCTATATGCAAATTAACTGCCAACTAAGGTGGCAGTTAACTGCCAACTAAGATGGCAGTTAAGATTGGCAGTTAACTGCCAACAAGAGGCGTCAGGCCTGGGCAAGGGGCCGATCCTGTGATTGGAGGGTCATGGGGGTCAACGCCTGAGGGCTCCCAGTATGTGAGAGGGGGCAGGCTGGGCTGAGGGACCCCCCCCACACACACCCAGTGCACGAATTTCGTGCACCGGGCCCCTAGTCTATAATTATAAAAGGTAATATGCTAATTAGACTGGAGGTCCTTCCTGACAAAGCCCAGCGAGGGAATCAGCCTGGGTCCTGGATGCCAGAGGGAAGCAGGTGCCAGCCGAGGGGAAGGTAGGCCTACGCTTGCCCAAATTTTTGTGCATCGGGCCTCTAGTGTAAACTATAAAATATTTACTAAGATTGCACCAAGTTTGTCTGGACGTGATGGATGGGCTAGGGCTGGAGTAGGGTGGAGAAGGTTAAGAGTCTATGAGTGGTGGAGACAATGATATTTTCCAATGGACCATCTGCCATTAACCTTCATTAAACAAGTGGGCTAGAAGAAATAGGAACTTGTGCTCAAGAAACTTGCCATCTCGTACGTCAACCCCTTGTAGTTCTAAGTGTAGCTTGTGGACCAACAGCATTGGCATCTGGGCATTGACAAGAAACGCAGATTATCAGGCTATCCCTGAATCCACAGACTGCGCTTCAACAAAATCCCCAAATGACTCGTGTGCATATTAAAGTTTGAAAATCACTGCTTTCCTGGACTTTCCAAGAGAGTCGTTCGGAAAGCCCACTCACGGATCTCGGTCCAGACCAGAGAGGGCAGGTGCACAGGGAAGGGGCGGGCCCAGGAAGGGGAGACCCCAGAAACCTGAGGTGCCAGGGCCAAACCCTCCGCTCCACTCAGCCTCCCGCCCCCAGATCCCAATATTCGGTTAGGTTACCTGTCCTCCTTTTCCGGCAGAAGCCACTTCTATGGCTTAGGAAACTCGACCCGCTTCGCCCCGGGCCGGGAAG